TGAGTACCTCGTTGGGTCTCACCTTGGTAAGTGTATTACAAAATAATGACATGACATGCGATGGTACGTATTTAGTCATACGTTTTTTTATCCAGCAACTGCCTCTAGGAAAATCATTTCGTTGTATAGTAGGAAACAACACAGTTGGGCGAATCTTGAACATCTTCTCCCAGATCCATAACTGTTAAAAATATGAATTGTTCACGTCAAATCAATAATACATTTTAAATGAAATATGGACGTGCAACCATTCCAAAATTATGCATCCAGTACCTGTAAAAACATGTATGGGCGCTAGCTATGTAGCTTATAATTGCGTAAGACGCTTTACAGAGTTGGAAATATAAATAGACAAGTGTGGCGCCGCCCCAACTAAAATTACTCAAAACTTCTATATCTTTTAAGTAATCAATTAGTGGCAACTTATAACATTTCTACAGGTGTCGGCAAACAGTTGTTCAACAAATAAGATCAAAATGTAGCATCAACATGCTGTCGAACTAATTCCTCCAGTGCATCATTTGAAAGAGACTCGTACAAAAAGTCAAATATGAGCATAAGTTTCAACCACCCATTCTTGAAGTGTCGAGTCTCAAACCTAAAGCCCAGAAGCTCTTCGATCAATTGTTTCTTACATGCAAAATTCCTATTTCGATCAACCAGCATCACTGATAATTCGTCAACACGCAGACCGCATAATACCTCCATATCCTGTAAAGTGACAGTCGTCTCACCCACGAAAAGATGAAATGTATGGGTCTCTTGCCTCCAACGCTCAATAAGCGCTACAATCAACTCATGATCAAGTTCAAAGTAGCCTACCTATACGATCCCCTAAAAGCCTATAACACAAAGATAGTTTGTTATCCGAGAATTCAGTTGATTCTGTACTAAGTCCCAGAAAAATCCATCGGCTCGCTTTATATTGAGCTGACTCTGCTGTCCTAAGAACATTGTTTTTAATCTATGTATATTCTACAAATATAATGTGCCATTTTTATATAGACCCTGTATAAGATAGAGGGTTTGCCTAGGCCAATGTGATATGTCTAGAATAATCTGTACAAACACAAATTTATTAATGGTCGACATACAGTCAAAATTTTATTAAATTGCACGTCAGCAACAAACATATAGTCAAAAAAGTGGCTAACAACTGACATAACGTATAGTCGATGACCACACAACTTTTAGCTAACATTTTTTTGCTTTCATTTTTTTATACATGAAAATGACTAAAATATGAGTAATTCAAGGCATTGAATCCTGTCTATGAACAATGGTTACAGCGACGAGACGCATCAGGACATCAATGATCCATTTGATTATGTATTCTAATTATGGCCTCAGGATCGGGTCTCTTTCTTTTAATTCTTCTTACACCGTAGTTAAGTCGCAACTCCGAAGGGACCCAATAAGTCGAGTCGGACAAGGGCAACACAATGTTGCAGAATACATTTGATTGTTCTTCTGTCGGCGTCAGTTTTTTTTTATTTTTAAAGAACAACAAGAGGTGGAACTACAACCATTGATCATCTGCTGATCAACGGTCCAAAAACTATTGCCGCAAATGAGATTTGCGGTTTCAGTTTAAAAAAAAAAAAATTTTGCCAACACCTATCGTCCCAAATGAGCTTTGCGGTTTCAGTTGTTTAAAAAAAAAAATTTGTCTGCTTTGCCACTTATTTGCAGGCTTTTCCAAAAAAAAAACAAAAAAACTAAAGCCAGTACTATCCCAAAAAAAAAAAAAAGAAACTAAAACAATTTTTATTGGAAGTCTCTGTTCCTAATTGCGGTAACCCTTAATATAGAAGGTCCCCTCAAATCACACCAGTTTTGTGATAATTTTTTATTTTAATAATATTTCGAGAAATTTGCCCTTCAAAATCAGGATGATTATGATTTTTTCTTTTATAGTGAATGTAGTACTTGATTTTCAATTAATTAAGTATAGCAAAGTTAATATTAATACTATGCATGAGTAATCTTTATTGACATAACACCATTAAAAAGTTATAACTAGAGTAACAAATGAGGAATTGTAAGTAGGAGATATTGACATCAAAATTATGCCTGTCAATCAGGATCTAACATGCTCACTAATATAGTTAGTATCATTTTTGAGTTTTGGATTATAAGTTTGGGGTTAATAAATATGAGACTCATACTTGACTCATAAAATATTCAGTGTGTGGGGCTAATTCGGGTTTAATTCACACTCATTTATTACTTATTAATTTTCTTAGTATAATTACTATAATTATTAATTTCTAAAACTAATTTAACATCCGCAGAATCACAACATTAAAACTATACACAAACAAATAATAGTTCATTAAAAAGTATATAAAATTAAAATTTTTCAACAATAATATATCCAATTAATTCAAAGTATATGATCAACAGTCAATACATCTTTAAAGGTTTTCAATTTGCTCGTACTAAGATTTGTCCTTCTGAATCTTTTGACATAATTTTGTATATTTAATATTTCTTATATATATATTAATATAGTTTGACATATAACACATAAGTATAAAATATTAGTATTGTATATTTAGATATATAATTATATATATCAAAATATTAATAATATATATGTGTGTGTGTATGCAGATTAAATGGTCGAACCTATATTGGGTTTGAATCTAATAAGGTCCAAAATCGACTGATATTTATTTTGGACCTAATATTTATGTTTAAACTCATCCTAACTCAATAAAAAGTTAGACTCATTGGAGAATGCGTCTATGGTAGGAACGCTTTGACTGTGCCTACCATAGGAACGCGGTTGCTATTTGACACGTGTCTCTAATGACCATTGCTTTTTGTTGCAATGATGGTTGTACTGTCGGCAGTAGAAAAGTCTATCACGTGTTGAAGACTTGCAACGCGCTAGGCACAATGAAATGGGGCCCAACGAGAAATCGAAATACAGGAAAAAAATATTAAATATACGAAATAATACGACCAGCAGTACGGCTAATTTGAAAACGAAATATACAAACAATGTCAGAGGCATGCCCATAAATACAGTAGTTTAAAATATCAAGAATTTGAAATGCAAATTAGTGGGGAGTGGGGAGAGAAGTGTGGATATTTGGAGAGGTGGCAAGGCACACCACCTCTCTCATCCATCGCACAACAAAATCAAATTAAAGAGAAGAAGTAATGCTGTAGGTTGTGGAAATAAGAGAAGAGTAGGTGATTGAATCAGTATTTTGTAATTGTAATCGAAAGATTACGTTCACGGCAGATCTGGGGTATGTGTCGATAAACCCTAATCATCTCATATATAAATTTGAGAAAGGCGTGTAGTTGTAGAATTCTGTGGAGGTAATGGGCAATGGATGATGACTCACAAATTTGACAATGTCAGACAGAGGCAGGTTAGCGGGCATAGAGGGGACAACAGTGATTAGGTAGGCTATACTTTTGCTTCAATAGGAGGGACGGGATTAGGAGTGTTAAAATAGTAGGGTATAGCATGAATTGCAACATACAAGAGCAGTGGTTTGGTGGGGCGAAAGAAACATCGCATGGCGGCAAAAAAATTTGTTCGCAAGACTGTGAGGATAGTGTTCTGTGTAAATACATTTGATGGACAAAAAGATTATTGACTAGTTGGCTTACATGGTAGCATGCATGCGTGTGAAATAAGGTAGGAGGGAAAAAATGGAAGGGGACAGACAATTGAGTTGGAATAGGCGAGTGATTGACGTAGACGAAGGGGTGGAAGATCACGACTATGCACAAGTGACGAATGATCGGAACGGACATGGGAGTAGTGGGTGCAGAAGTGGACATAATCACCGAAGCAGGGCGGTATGGGATGAAATGGCGAGATTTGAAGATATTACAGATGATAATGTCAAAGGCATGGAATTTGACAGTACAGAAGAAGCAGAAAGCTTCTACCTGGTGTATTGCAGGGCAAAAGGATTCGGCATGCGCAAAGATTTGAAGAGGAAAGATAAGGATGGATTGATCAGGAGATGGTCATGACTATGTAGCAAGGAAGGGGAGAGATAGGCGAAGCACATCAACAGAGGGGATCGAATTAGGGAGGTGAAAGCTTTAACCATGGCTAACTACTTAGTTCAGCAAATGGTTCATTATGATCGGAGTAAGCAGAAGTATGTGGTTTCAGAGTTCATAAGCTAACACAGTCATTGGCTATGTAGTTCTCAAAATGTCCAGTTCTTGAGGTCGCATAGAAAAGTCACGGAAGCAGAGCTGTAGCAGGCACAAGTCATGAACAAGTCAGGATCAAAACTAATCACATCATTAGGGTAATGGCAATACAAACTGGATGGTACCATAACCTAGGGTTCCATTCGAAAGATATGTACAATGACCTACATCGGCATAGGCAACTGGCAGTGGTGGGAGGGGATGCTGAATTAGCTATCGCCCACCTTTTGGGCAAACAATGCGGTGATCTAAATGTGTATTACAAATATGCCACGAATGAGAACGGAAGGTTGACTAGATTGTTATGGGCTGATTCAATTTATAGAGATGACTATCGGTGTTTCAGAGATGTGTTGGTGTTCGATAGCACATACAACAACAATCACTACAAATTTCCACTGGTGGTGCTATGCAGGGTGAACAACCACTATTTCACTTGTATTTTTGCGTGTGCTTTGATTGTTTAAGAGGAAGACGAGGGCTGTGATTGGGTAATTAGCACTTTTTTGGAAGCAATGGGTGGACAACAACCAATATCTGTCGTAACAGATGGGGACAAATCAATAAGAAAGTCAATTAAAAAATTCTATCCCCAAGCAAAACATAGATTGTGCAACTTTCACCTAGAGGTGAATGCTAACACCAATGTGAGGGATAGGACATTTTTGAACTCGTTTAAAGCATGCATGTTCATGAATTGTACCCCACTACAGTTTGAATATAGATGGGCAGAGGTTATTCGGCAGTTTAGGCTAGAGGACAATGAATAGGTGAAGAAAATGCGCCAAAAAAAATAACAGTGGGCTATGGCTTTCCTCAGAGAAAATTTCTTCAATGGCATGAGGAGCACCCAACGATGCGAGAAAATGCATCAGGTGTTGAAGTTAAACCTTACACCCCAGTTGAAACTGTACGAGTGCGTTCAAGCTTATGACCTTGCTGTTGCTCGGCTCAGGCATGAGAAGAGGCGGCTTCGAACTGTCAAGGAGCACACTACCCTTCTTCCCGCGACCCAATTGCAGCCATTAGAGAGACATGCGAGTAATGTCTTCACCAGGACGATATACATCATGGTCCGTAAAGAAATGAAGAAACAGGAAATGTACTACAGGTATAATGGCAGCGACAATGGCATTACAGCAGTCCACTACTTGAGACATCCATACATATATTCGGAGTATATGGTGTCGTACGACAGGGCAACTGGCAACATGAACTGCTCTTGCTTGAAACTCGAAATGCTAGGTTTGCCATATTGCCATATGTTTAGAGCAATGCTATTCGAGAAACTCCAAAGGATCCCCCAAAACTGCATCATGAAACGGTGGACTCGACATGCTAAAGAAGGGACAGTGACCAGGGATGCTGTAAATACTCCCAACTCTAACCTAACGGAAATGACACGGTACTCTCGCTTAATATCTGCTGCTAACAATCTAAACTTATATGCATCCAAAACAACCGAAGAATTTGTCAACGTATTGGAATTATTCCACAATGAGACTGATCGGGTAAAGGAGCTGCAAGATAAGGCACAGATAGACAGCTATCCATTGTAATGTAGAGAGACAGGTTCAACAAAGCGAAGCCGGATACATGTCAAGGGCCCAGATATTGCAAGAGCACGTGGGCTGAATGCAATGAGGGACAGAGAAAATGGAGAGTGAATCAGGTTTCCTTTCTTGATCGAACTATGTGTTTTGATGATGGGTGTAGGTAGTGGTACGAAAGCGTTCATATTTAATTTTAGACTAATCTATGTACTTGTATACATATATGCAAATGTGCATTCACTGTCTAGCTTAAGTTTGTATACATTGTGTTACTTATGCATGAATATAAATCGCTTGGATTTTAGTGCCAACAAGAATGTAGTGTACACATGTGAAAATTATGTCGTCAAGATTTATTGATCCAACTTGCCTACTATAGAGGACATAGTGGGCAGGCGAAGCGGGCTGGCAAGTGTTGTCCGGCAATGGCAGCATCCCCTTTTCCATCAATGGGCAAGCGATATTTGGATATATTGGGCAGTGAAGATGCTGCCAACCCTGGCCTCATTCCTCTGTTTCAGCAAAACAATAGCACAAGCATAGCCACTAGTCCACTCGTGCAACGTATCCCTTTTTTCATAATCGCACCAAACATATAACAAATGAGGTTTGCAAGTTATTTACATTCAGTCCGTCCAAATCTTGTGTACATCCCTATTTATATCTAAAATGCATGGCATATGTACAGATATAGGCATTGTTTCACTATGTATCGTATGCACACTAAAATTGTGCCAAGCACATCTCCTGTAATTGACCACTATGGCAGGCATAAGCTCCTTCATACATGCTGTTAGTTTCGAAACCTAAATTAAAATGATCATGCAAGGTATAGTTCGACAGAGTATGCACAAGGGTTTGACTGGCCAGCACTTTCCATAGATAAAAGTTGAGATTCGTTGTACTTGATTTAAATTTCTTGGGCACAAGTACCCTGCTCTAAACATGCGTGCCTTAGATGTGTGGGTGTCAGTAGATATGCTAAGAAATGTTGTGTTTCTACTTTGATTTTGTTGTTTGGTTGAACCATTTAGGTCACGCCTAAGAGCACAGATGGCTTTGTGGGGCATCTTTGGTAGAACTACAGTGCGTCTTCATACCAGGTGCCATTTATATACTGGAAAACTAGTTACTGAAATAGAGTAGCAGTAGCTATCAAAGCTTAGACGTCGATGGTCATTGTTGTAATGGCCCCATGGTGGCATCTGTTTTGATGTAATTACTGTTGGCCCGTGACAGGTGGTCCAGCCAATAGGCAATGCCAGTGATCCTAATGTGAAGCCCTCTGTACCATTTGAGATAGTAGAATGATGACTTGATTGTCCAGTGCCGCAATCACCTGATGACTACTGCTTCGTTGGGTGTGGGTACATGCCGAGAAAGCTTTTACTTTTGTGTATATGAATGTTTTTTCTGGCATTAGCGACACCATAAACCTTGTGATGGTGGCAAAGTACAGGTGTATAATCGGTTCAACTCATAATACGGAGTAGCACTTGTTTTTTGATTTTGTGGTTTTATTCCAACTTCTTATATTTTGCGCATACATGAAACACATTCACTGTTTGATAGTGGTGCAATACAAGTTTAACATTCACCCTAATCAATCTCATTTACCTACCCAACTGCAACCCAATTTTTTATGGTTGAATTGTAATCTATTGTAGTAAACAACCAAATGCATAAGTTGAACAGGCATTTGTGCGATTGAGGGGATACAAGTAGCAGAACAAAAATAAAAAACTAAACACCCGTTGCCCACCCATTCAACTGCAATGGGGCTGATAATTCATTTTTGGGAGAACTGCACAAATAGTCCCTCACATATTGCAAATGTGAAAATTTCGTCCCTCAGATCGAAAATGATCAATTTTAGTCCTTATCAAATAAAAAAGGATCAATTTGAGTCCCTTTTCACTTTTCCGACTGATTTTTGCCCGGAATATCTCACGTGCACACCACGTGGCCAACTTTTCAAGGGTAAAAATGCCAAATCACTTATCTGTTGACCAAAACCAAAATGTAAAGGACGAATACTGCCCAAAAAAAATCTCCATTTTGGTACTAACTCACCGTTCCATCTCCGATTCCTCTCAACCCAAACAAAAAAACTTAATTATCACTACCCACTACCCAGCAGTGGACTGATGTTGATGGAAAGGAGTGTTAGTGACTAAAGCGAAGAAGAAACAGGCATACCAGAGTGATGGACGAAGAAGACATTCAATGGATCCCAAATTACGGTATGTTTTTCTAAACCCTAAACTGTAAAATTTATGGAATGATGTCAGATACTATGTGAATAGTTTAAATACAGTTGAAATAAGCATGATTTGTGCAGTTAAGAAGCATTATTATATTGATTAGGGTTGCTGGTGGTCAATTTTATGTATTAAATTGTTGTAAGTACATGTGGTCCCTTGTATTGTGCTGTGTTGTCGCTTTACATAGATGGGCTGTCGGTCCCAAAACAATTTTTTTGTTGTTAACTGTCTCCTAAATGGTTGGCAGATGGTATGAATCGATTTTCCATTAGGGTCCACTATGGAGGTGAATTCACTGAGTTGCCGAACAAAGAATACCGCGGGGGTAGTGTAAAAATTGTTAACTGTTGCAATCCTGACAGATGGTCTATATGTACACTTGATAGGGTTGCAGAAAAACTGGGTTATCCTGAGTTTACTGTAATATACTATTACTTAATACCCGGGAAGAACATGGAGGATGGGTTAGTGTATGTGTTATGTGAAGATGTTGCTCAGGATTTGGCTAGAGACGGAGTGAAATATGGTTTGGTTGATGTATACTTTGTGCACTTAAAAACCTACTCCATAAGTGAATGTGAAGCTGGACCATGTAAACCAAAAGAGGGGACTGATCCTAAGGAAAATCAACAGGGTAGTAAGGTGCATGAAGAACCTTCTGATGTAGAAGAAATAATGTTGACTAATATTCCTGTAACTCAATCAGAAAATGAGGGTGAAAAGGATAGCATAGGTGCTGGTGAGTCAGGAGTTAATAAACACATAGAGGAAGCAGCCATAGGAGAGAACTTAGGTGAAATGCTTTCAGAAGTTGACATTAGAGTTGCTGATAAAGGGGATAGTGCAGCAAATATAGGAGGGTCTGATCAGAATTTTAGAAAAGAACAAGATTGGACAAACTCAGAAGTACAGAATACAGGAAAAAATGCACCTTCTACTAACAAATCACCAAAAGAGAAATCATTAAAGAAAAAATCCTCAACAAATAAAGAGCGGGCTGAAAAAGTTGAGAAAAAGAAGAAGAGTAAGAAGGAGACACATGCTGAGGAAGATGAGGAATGTGCTGATGGTGACAAGTTCATTGATAGTGACTATGAGTTCAGTGATGAAAAAGACATAGTAAAATCTGTTAAAGACAGAAAAGCTGAATGGGAGAAAATTGCCAAAAATTGCAAATCAAATAAGAGTACAAAGGAAAGAACATGTCAAGTGGAGAATGCTGAGATGGAAGAAGATGCTACTGACTCAGATGAATTTGATAGTTGGTGTGACTCAGAAGTAGAAGAAGATCAGCCAAGAAAAAGAGCTAAGTTTCCAAAATTTAACCCTGAAACTGATATGATTGATCCCAAATTTGAGGTTGGGCAGATTTTTACTTGTAAGCAGTTGTTCATGAAGGCATGCAAGAGCCATGGAGTGGTTCACGGAAGGAAGATAAAATTCAGTAAAAATGATGGCAGAAGAGCTACGGCTTATTGCAAGGACTGTAGCTGGAAAGTTTCTACAGCTGTTATGCTAGACAAAAAGACTTTTCAAATCAAGAGCATGCAAGGTAAACACAGTTGTGGGAGGACATTTGACCACGGACTAGCAAATTCAACTTTTTTGGTTGATAGATACAAAAAGGAGCTGGCTGCCATTGCCGACATGAAGGTGAGTACGCTCACAGATAAAGTGAAGACTGATGTTAATGTCAACATCTCTAGGTGGCAAGCTTATAGAACTAAGAAAAAGGCAGAGAGTTTAGTTAATGGTGAACATGAAGCCCAATACAACAAACTAAGAAACTATTGTAGGGAAGTAAAGAGGGCTAATCCTGGCTCAAATGTTTTCATGACCACTGTTGAAGATGATGAGGGAGAAGATAGGTTTGAGAGGTTGTATATTTGTCTCAATGCATGCAAGACAGGCTTTTTAAGTGGTTGTAGGCCTGTTGTCGGGTTAGATGGCTGCCATCTTAGAGGGCCCCACAAGGGTGTGTTGCTTACAGCTGTAGGAATTGACCCCAATGATCAGTTGTACCCCATTGCCTATGCTGTGGTGGAAATAGAAAACAAGCTGACTTGGAAATGGTTCGTAGGTGAATTGCTGAATGACCTCCAAATCAGAGATGAAAATCATTGGACAATTATTACTGATAAACAAAAGGTATGTTAGTGTATTTTTCTGGGATTTTTTTAAACTGAGTTTGCTAGTTTTAATTTGATGATCTGGTTTCACCTTTTTATTTGTTGAAGGGACTGATTCAAGCTATTCAAGAGTTGCTTCCAGATGTGGAGCATAGGATGTGTGTGAGACACATGTACAATAACTTTAAAAAGCTGCATGGTGGTTTGGCATTAAAGGAGAGAATTTGGACACTTGCAAGAGCTCCTTACAAAAATCTGTTCAAGGCTTTGATGGAAGCTTTGAAAGCAGTTGATGAGGGTGCATTTCAATGGTTGGTTGACAACACAACACCACAGCAATGGTCCAGAGCTTACTTCAGAACCTCCCCTGAATGTGACATTTTATTGAACAATCTTTGTGAGAATTTCAACTCCAGCATTTTAGAAGCAAGGGAGAGGCCTATACTAGGTATGTTGGAAACAATACGACTTTATTTAATGGTTAGAATGGAGAATAAGAGGGAGTGGATGCAGAAGTATATAGGAAAGGTATGTCCCAAAATTTTAAAAAAGTTGGAAAAGGTAAAAACTGCTTCTAGTGCATGTATAGCTACACCTTCAGGGGACTGGAATTATGAGGTGAGATGTATGTATGGGGATAGGTACACTGTGAATTTGGCTAGCAGAACTTGTAGTTGTAGAAGGTGGGAACTAAATGGCATTCCTTGTGCTCATGCAATAAGTGCCATTACTTTGACAAAGGAGTCTCCCGAGAACTTTGTTCATGAATGCTACTCAAAAGAGGCCTATATGAAGGCATATGGGCCTATAATATATCCTCTCAATGGTGAGCATTTGTGGAAGGATTTGAAACAGGGGCCTGTCCTACCACCTGAAACCATCAAGCTTCCTGGCCGGCCAAAGAAGGTAAGAAGAAAAGAGCCAGATGAGCCACCAGCTACAACAACTTCTCGAGGACAAACAAAGAGACTGTCTAGAGTTGGTCTAATGAGATTATAAGTGCAGAAAGTGTAAACAGAAGGGCCACAATAGTAGGAAGTGTCCAAACAGTCATGATCAAGAGAATGTCCAGCAACAAGCTGCTGCGGTTACAAATAGCTCTCAATCACAACAGCAGACTCCCAACACTATATGAATCCTGGTGCAAACAAGCAGTCCCAACCTCAGCAGTCCAATTTCACACCTGAAGCAGTTTTTGGTGCAAGTGGCTTGGAGACTGATACAAATGACCAAGTCTTGTTTGATCTCATCAGTCAAATCCCAAATCAACCTACAACCAGCCAACCACCTACTTCAACATTGACAACAAAGAATGCAACATCTCCAGTTCATGTTTCTCTATTTGTTCATACTAATAATAGCATGTTGACTTCTTTCTATACTATTATTTATTTACTTGAATTTCTGGTTGCCAATTGTCAGGGTAAGAAAGTCAAGTACAGATGTGGTGTATGTCGGAGATTTGGACACACTCGAAGTAGTTGTGATTCAACATTGGCCTCTCTCTATAAGAGACACCCATGGGAACCACCTGGATTGGCTGTAAGTATTGTCTACTACGTGCATAGTCTAAAGAGACTGCAAAGATATCTACTTTTAAGACTGCAAAAATTGCTATTGACTGTAAGTAATTGACTGTAAGTAATGACTTCTTCATTGTTTTTTTTTGTATCAGAGGCCCAAGAATACTGCAAATATATCTACTTCTAAAAGTGCTGCAAAGAGGGCTAAAAAGGCCTAGATGACTGGCCTGTTATTGCAAAGAGGGATGACTGCAAAGATATCTACAAAAGAGTGCTGCAAATGGTGGATATAATAAAGAATCCACAAAAGAGTGCTGCAAATGGATTATTTTTCGCCTTTTTGTCTTGTATTTGACTTCAGCAGACCTTTTTTTGGAGCAATGGAATTGACTTCT